GATGGTGATGTCGTCCAGATATGCACAGGCATAATCCTGGAGGCCATCCAACAGCCAGTCCACCATCCTCTGGAAAGTGGCTGGGGCGTTCTTCATCCCAAACGGCATTACCTTAAATTGGTACAGGCCAAATTAGGTGATGATGGCCGACTTGGGGACATCATCCATTGCTAGGGTAATCTGACAGTAGCCCTTACACAAATTGATCGTGGTGAGGTAATGACCACGAGCCATCTGGTCTAGGAGCTCGTCTATTTAAAAACTTCTTAAAGGCTTTGTAGGGTAGATTGGATTTGGGTTCTGGGGAACACTTCCCCAACCCGCTGTTCATGGATGGGCACAGGCTCTCTGAGCCAGGACATATGCTTGTGCCTCGGCAAAGATCCTGGTCATGATTTCTGTGGAGGGTTTCTCTGCGTAATATGCCAAGTGACGATCCATCTCCTTGTCCAAGGCATCTTTATCAACCCCTGTTGCTGTACTGTGGCCGCGCCGCTTGGTAGTCTATGGGCAGGAAAAAGGGACCATCCCTTTGTCTCCCAGGCACAGAAAAGCCGCCCGCGGGAAAAGACAAAACTCGCCAGTGTCCCAGAAGTGCCCACACCAATCTCAGGGATCCTCGCCTCAGTCCTCCGATCGGCTAGTTTCTGTTTGTGAAGTCCTGGTTTGAAACCTAGACAAGGGAAATATCTCCTTTGGGGGTACGAATGCTCCCCCTGGATGGCGTTCGTATATACAAAATGGTGGCCACCCAGGGGAGCACTCATTAATTACTTCGCTTGCGGTTTTACACTGAACGTTCTGATTAATTGGTGTGAACGTTCTAATGGGGCAGTGGGGAGGTCCTCGTTCGGGAAACACACGAGTCGGGAAACAATCTACGAATGCTCCCCCTGGCTGGCGTTCATCTTTACGAATGGCGGCCGCCCAGGGGAGAGCTCATTAATTGTTTCACTTGCAGTTTGCGGTTTGATAGGTATGTTGCGAGGTGTGAAGGTTCTAAACTAACATGCAAAATGGGGGGGATCAGGGTGGTCTCCGTTCAGGAGGCAAATTAATTCCCTTTGTGGAGGCACTCCCGGGAAGGGGAACAATATACAAAATTATGGGGAGAAGACACAAAATATAAAGAAAGGCAATTCACGGACAGGCAGTGGTCCCACCACATAGGGAAACCCAGATAAGAAGGCAAACAGTTGCTAAAGTGTCAGAGTACTACAGGCATCATAACCCCTACAGAAGGCATTTTAATATTTTTGGAAAAGCTATCCAAATTATTTTATATTTTTGGACACGTTTTAATATGATTTCATATTTTGAATTTTTTTTTGATATTTTGATGTTTTTTCAAATGTTTATACATTTTTTGATATTTTAATATTTAAAAAAATGTATTTAAATATTTATCTAAACATATTAAATAATTTAGAAAAGCTTATCCAAAAATATTAAATTGGGGTCAATATTAGATTTGAATAAAATATTTAAAAATATGAAAAAAAATCAAAAAAAATCACAGTTTTGCTAAAGAAAGATTTCTCAAGCCAGACATTTCATTACAGTAAAGCATATGTTTGTAGAAAATAGACCCTTTGGTTTTTAGTTATGAGCATTTATGATTTGACCATTTCATCACTACTATTCTGCTAGTTAATCTTATTTTATGCTTTTCACATGTTTTATTTTTGTGGGGAATATATATGTGTCCCTCTACGCTAAAGACCCTAGTTCTGTATTCTGTTATGACCCGGAACACAGCAATACCCCCATTTAGACCTTTGCAAGATTTTTGGGCAGTTATGGGGTCAACGTACAGCCATGTCATTTTCAGTGTTTTGACCAATTGTTTAACTGGGCTCATGTAAGTTTTAGGACAAAATAGTATTCCTCATCTGCATTCTATCCCATCATAGCATACCATTTGTAAAAGACCTACACACACCACCAATGAGGGGCTGGGAGGACAATAGGTCTATCCCCTGTCTAATTTAGGGCACCCATCTGTAACCAATGGGTGGGGGCAAGGGGGGCACTATCTCCCCCATTCATTTTATTTAACAGCCCCCAATTGTGGCCACAAGTGGAATCAGAAGTGGGACTTTAGGTCCCCTGTTTATTTCAATAGTCCCCACTTGCTGGATATGGTGGGAGCATGGGGTAACAATATGTCCCCATGTTTACGCTATTTAATAGCCCCCATATATTTAAATGGCCCTCACTCATGTGGCACTGGGGACACTATGTCTCTCCCAGTTTATTTTTGCAGGTGCCCCATGATGGGGCATGGGGTACCTGTGTCAGGTTCCCTTTTATTGGATTAGCAACTGGGCAGCAATAGCTTTTTTTATTAACAGAGAACAGTCACTAGCTCCCCGCTTTTAGTAGACATGCCACGACTCACAGCACAACCGGTAGCCGCAGGGGGAGGATTTAACCTCCCTTATTTACTACTGCTAAGTATTTTTTACTTAATATTAGTAATGTTGGCTGAAACACCAAATTACGAAACGGAAGGGCTTTTCGTAATTTATGTCTTTCAGCTTTTTAGTAGATAGCTCCCTAATCCTTGTGGGATTGCCGTAAGGATACAAAAAAGGAGCTACCTACTAAACAGCTCCCTAATTTGGTACCCCTAAATATAACAATCCCTCAAGGGTACCAATTTAGGGAGTTATCAACTAAACGGCTGCAAGATGCAGGTACAGCATTTGTCCTAATGAAATTCCGAAATGAACATATTAACCGAATTTCGTCCAAAAACAAATGAACAAGTGGACAAAATTCAGTTAGGACGAAACTACATTTCCCCCAAATGTGTTTGAACAAAACAAACATTTCAATGGTGCCCATGTCTACTCCATAATTTGAAGTGTTAGAATAGACAACATTGTTACACTCAATGTAATAAGCGGATCTGCGTATGTCATTTTAATATGGACTATAACGTGCCATTTAAATTCTACCATTGTGTGTCTTCAAACACCCTTGAATTCATTTTTAAGAATACAGATGAGGCAGGTGACTGTTCTTGGACAGCATTAGAGGGTGTTCCCAAAGCATTACAAGAAAATACCCCTTCTCATTATAAAAATATGTCACATGCGCTCGGGGATATAGCGTCTGAATCCTCCCCCATATATACATAGCTGATGAAAGTTTATTTTCAGGCTCCAAGCACGCTCGAAGGAATGCGCTCGATCTTTTCCATCACATGGCTAAAAGGTTTTCTTTATAAAGATCTCTCGATGCTTTGCCATGTGCGTCTGTAACATGACAAAGCAGTTTCAGTTTATTTAAAGTCTCCTCATTCAACAGCTGTTACTACTTACTCTGTATGTATTATAGCAGAGAAACCACCTTCCTTTTCAATTGGTCGATTCGGAAACATAAGAGGATTAGGTTATGTGTATTGTCAAAACAATAAGGTACTAACTGGGGGAAAAATCTAAAAGGTTATCGTTACTCGTGGTTCCTTTACGTAATTCCGATGCCTAGTTTTATTTTATGAGGGGCATACATCTGAACATAATCTTTTTAACCCCTTAAGGACACATGACATGTGTGACATGTCGTGATTCCCTTTTATTCCAGAAGTTTGGTCCTTAAGGGGTTAATCAAGCACATTCAAAAAATTTATTTTTGCACGAAATATCTAGTAATTCCAAGCTGTTTCTCGCTTGTTTTTTACTTTTCTTAGGCCAGTTTTCTTTTTAATTGTAATTTAATTTGGTGATAAATTCATTTTACCCATTACAGCAAAGTATAAATTATTATTATTAAAAAACAGAGACTTATAATTCAATAGCAGCTTTATTGTGTGGGGTACAGCAGTGTACCCCTTCATACTTGTAGGAAATCAATAGGCCAATAAAGTTACCCGCCGATATGTGTCCTGACTGAGAATAATAGGAGTGAAAGTGCACAGAATCTTGAGTGCAATTATTCCATAAAAATAAAAACTGTATATTGTCTTAAAGTAAGTACGCCCTAACGATTACAGATCAGTAACGGCACTTTGGTTCATGAAAAGCAAAGCCTTTACAACGTCACTCACATGGCCTTCTGCATGTCTTACTTGCTATTACCGTAATTTAATCTATTTTTAACAGCTAGTAGGGGTTTTAGGAGTTGTACAATAGTGACGTTCCAGGACAAGACAGTTGCAGAAGGCATGCCAGCCCTGGCGAAATGCTAAGATTTCAACGTCAGACCACATCCCCCACTCACATAATCAACGATTGTTTTCTACAAAAATATTGCTTAAATAATGTGTTGATCGAGCATCGGGGTAAACAGGAATCTTTGTTCTACATCCAACGGAGCAGCTTCTAAGACAAGCATTGTGGTTTCTAAATTCTGGAGAAAAAAAAATGAATTCAGAAGAAAAGACGTGTTTGCTACAAAGGCTCAACTAAAAAAGGCAAAATGCAGTATGGAAAATGTGGGTGATCCGGGAGGAAGAACATGGCATCAAGGACGATGTTTGACTAAGCATGTTTTCTGCCTTCTTTTGTTTTTAATTAACAAAGCAAAACTAAAACAGCAGATTATCGCTCTGGCTAATTTCGGATGGATGTGGGAGCGCCTTGATTTGTAGAATGTTTTTCTTCGTCAGTTTGCTGGGTAAAAAATATGTTGGTTATTTAATGGAAAATAATGGAAAGCACTATCTGGAAGAGGGCAGTGGTGATTTTAGAAAAAAAAAAAAGGAATAATTAGCTCCCATGTTCGTGGCAACAATATCAAACTGTTACCAATATCATTTGAAAGGTCTAAATTAAAATTATTCTAATTTGTCAAAATCAGAAATAGAGCATAATATATTTTTATTAAATGTATCAGAAAACAGCTGTGCACATTTTAAAGTAAAATTTGTCACTTGATCTTTTTTGCCCCTTTTAAGGGTTAATAGATGTATATGTGTTTAGGGGAAAATAACCCTCTCTATCTCATTAGAGATTTTACCTTTTAGCTGAAGACAGCAAGGTGGATTATTAGTGTGGGACTCAACAAAGAGGTCTGCCTTGACTTGGCAAGTGAGCTTGCACTTTAACGGCCATTGGTGTGATACTAAAATACCTCCATTACATGTGCATATCGATTTGAGATGGTGTGCAGGTAATTCACTGCTGCCGCCCAGGAGTAGTGGGAGTTTGATCACAGGGATTCTTTTTTTTATGTTTGATATTTTTTGGGCCCACACACATGGTGGTGTAGTCGCCAAGAAAGGAGGAGAAAGATATCTTAAATAATAACACTGGTTACTCTAAGTCAAGTCTGTTGCATGGCAGTGAAGTCGCAAAGATCCGGGATGACAGTATATGATGTCACAGCTGATGCCCTTAGTTACTGCATCTGAGGATTAATAAGAGAGAAGAGAATACATTAAAGAAATATTCAACCGTAGAATTATATAAAAAAGAAGCTGGTCTAAATATTGTTAATTTGCAGCAAATCCTTAGGATTGACCGCTTCTGCAGTGAGCTTTCCTCAGCTCAGGAACCACCGCAAACCTTTCAGACAATACTAATTATGCCACAGTGTTCTATGGGAATGTTGAGCCTATACCACAAGTTACTGCCTGTTCTGCAGGGACTGATGGGTATGCAGTTCAGTATTTGGCAGCAGTTGCTGTTCATGTGTGAAGCTCTAACACAGACTCTCTCGTGGAAATCTATGTAAAGGCCTGTTGGAGGAGACTGAGGAGTTGTGCATGCGCCATACAAGTACTTGTACAGCCATGGGGAAGCATAGCATGTATATCAAAAGAAACAATTCTTAAACAGACTGAAACGTTACAAGAACAATGGGAATCTTGCTCCACAAACTATGCAAGGAGTGTGGGTGGTTATGGTGCTGGAGTATCCCTTTAAATTCCATTTATTTTGTTAGTATAAACCTTGTTAAGAAACTTGTGGAGTGGTACAGAGGATGCATTGTCTTTATTAAATTAGCATTTGTTTCTTATAGATAAATAGCTAGCCAGCTGTATACCGCCAAACTCACTCTCACATTAGACAAGTATAAATATGTATTTGATATACGGCTTGATCCAACTGTTGCCCAGGCTGCATCACAGGAGACCACGATCAAATCTCGGGTTTCTTTATTTCTGTAATCCTCGTCCGTTACAGTAAGAAATTTGCCTTTTAAGGCTATATTCAGGCATAAAGCCTCAGCGAGGCTCCTAGCAAGTAATTTGGACTCAATCGTAAAATATAAAATGTTTCTTGTCTCCAAACACTTATCTGTTCTTATCGTTCAGTGGCGCAGTTTGATGCCTTGTATTTAGATTAACTGTGTCCAGTTCTGGAATTGAAGGATATAGAATGTTCCAAAATAAACGGCACTGTACCGACATACAAAACAGAGCTAGCCTGGCACAGAGGGTATGAAAAAAATCAACTTCCACGTTACATATTCATCAAAGTATTAAAGGGACACTACAGGCACCCAGATAAATTCAGCTCATTGCAGTGGTCTGGGTGCAGTGTCCCAGGTCCCTTAACCCTGAACAGGCTTTTTAATAAACTGCAATAATTACCTTTATTGGTTAACTCCACCGCTATGCACAATGATATTCAGTGTCACTGGAATCCTAATGCGAGTACAGCCATTGCCACGCATGCACGTTAGCTCTCCCCCGCCAACTACAGGAGAGAAGGCAGACCCGATCCAGTGCCGAGGGACATCAGCCACGGACCCAGGTAAGTTACGGAAAGGGTTATTAATTAATTAATTAATTGTTGTACTAGCGTGTAGAGTGCAGAGTAATCAAATTGCCCATAATTAGAGCACTGTATTTTTTTGGTGTTGGTAGGTGACTGTCCACAGGAAAAGAAGATACATTGTCAGGGCCATTCAATAAGAGTGTAGTACCGGGAAATCAAAGTAAATTTAAATTTTTATGTCAAAATAGTGGACTGTAAATTAATAGCTATCTAATTAATCTGAGCCATTTGTCATTGAATTCTGTGCAAGGCTTGTGGAAGAAATCAGTCACACTTTCTACATTTTGTTCGGGTACAAACAGCGATATTGAACACAATTTTGCACGGAAAAAAGTGCACACTCAACTTCTGCTTGCTTTTTCTGTGATTTGTGAGTTTTTGCTACAGAATCTAAACAGGACTAGGAGTGGGTTGGTTTCCAGGCTGCTTAAATAGACATTACATGGCCCAATAATTCTTGCGTGGGGCGTAACAGCCTAACGTCCACCATACAGTGGGAGAATAATTTATTACTGTAAGATCATTTTTGGTATTGGATTCTTTTTACTGTAACATTGATTGGCGATAAATCACTGTTTCCCCTGTATATATTAGGCAGGCGGTGCTGCTAAGCTTCAGTTTTTGTCCTTAGCTGCCACATTAATGTTTTTTTTTTCTATTTTCTATTCACCTGGTTCTATTTTCTATGTTTTGTATTGAAGACATCTTAAGAAAATCACTTGATTTCCAATTATTCACATTTGCTTCATGAGACTTGCAGTAAATTTTAGCCATCCCTGTTCCGGGCTTACAATTACAACTCCTATGCCAGACCTGGTTGGACCTTGAAAGTTACTCACCACTGCAAACCTGGAGGGTGATGGTATACTTATCAAAAGTATTTCTTCTTGCCAGGGCTAAATTTTCACTTGCCGATGGCAATGGATATGCTGAGTCCTGCATGTTACATTATAATTTCTAAAAATATAATTGTGCAATCGTTCCAGATCAATTCCTACTGGGATTCGTGAATGGGATTTACATTTTATATCAGTTCCTTGCTCCCCTTTCTGTCTTGCTACACTCAGAGGGTTAATGCACCATTCGAAGCCTGAATCCTGGATCCCTAAGAGAATGAGCGTCTCCATATCTGCAGGAATTTGGAGCTCGTCCAAAACAATTAAGTGCTTTGTTTCCTTTGGGCAGCTTGTGTGGATCTGATGCGGGCTGACTCTATGCAAACCACACTAGCCCCCCGCCAGGGAGATGACCTCATGCAGATACCAAACTCCGAGCTCCTTGTAAGGGAACAATGAAAAAATACTCATAATATCTAAAAATACTGTAGACATTCATCCTATTCTCAATTGTGTTAAGCGGCATGTTGTGGCGTGCCAGAGGGCAATGGATTTTAGTTTCTTTCAAATTTAATGTGTAGTCAGGATAGATACATTGTCTAAAGAAATTCAGTATGAGGAGCTAGTGACACATCCATAACCACCACTTTACCCTCTGTGCTTTGGGGAATTGGGCAGCAAAGATGGATTGTTAAACACCAATCACATTCCAATGCACACTTTGCCTTTGTACAGTTGGGGTCTAAATTTCGGCCACTTTTGTCCAACAACAGGGCACGATTTTCACCAAAAGAAAATCTTAAAGGGACACTGTGGTTTTTAATATAACAGTATTCTTTTAATAAAGGTATTTGGCCACTTTCTGTTTGCGAGTTAGCCATTTTACTTTTTGTATATAATTTTTTATTGCTATTATCACCATCCTTTTTACCTGGTACCAGAAGTTTTTAACTTTCCAGTGAGGATATTACTCCAAAGAATCCTAGGTGAGGATTATACCACTCAAGCTGTATTAATTGAGCAGTTCACCTGCTCAATCAAATGTGAGTAACCACTTGTTATTTTATCATCTCACCTCTGGTTTTTATACTTTAAGCACTATTGCTGTCTCTTTTATTTATTTTTTATATGGTTCCTATATCAAGCAAGACTACATAGACCTCATGTATTCTATAAGTTGGGATTGTTCCACTGTACGCTATCAACACTAGAGCTAAGTAGATAGCTCTATCAAACGTGAGTAGGACCATATAGATTTTCTATGGCATCTGTATCATAATGAGTGTATCATTTATAGGGCATGCGTGCCCTCCACTGTATTTCATTCTGTCTTTCCCGTGCATTGAAACAATAATAAAAAAAAAGATTTACCATAGATTTTCTATACTGTATTTAGCCCCTATTTGGGACATACTGCACCATTAGTTGTCATTTTTATCTATTTCATATGAACTTCAAGGGTTTATTTATATCACATTGAGGAATACACCTACTATCAAGATTGTACAATCCTCCACGGACAGGTTTTCGTTTTGGATTTATCCACCTCATAGACTTTTTACTCTGGACTTTTTCGCTATTGTGTATATATTTTCTGCTACTCCAGCTTGTCATATGTGATAGTATTATACTACCTTTATATTTTAGTGGCGCTACCTTTCCTTTATCTGTTTCTACTTACAGGGACATTGTAGACACTGTAACTGCTTCATGTCAGTGAGGTGGTTATAGTGTCTGGAGTCCCTTGGCACATTATTCCATTCATTGTTAAGGCATTTTTAAAGTTTTATTGCTAAACAAGAATCCCCTGGAGCCCATTCCCACAGTACGGCTCTGGATAATGAGAATATATTAGCCTGAGCAGCAGTGGGTGTTGGTGATTGGCTGAGAGTGTCAGCTGACCGCTTTCAGCCTATTACACAGGGCCGGCCCTTCCTATAAGGCGAACTAGGCAGCCGCCTAGGGCGTCATATAGGAGGGGGCGCCCTATGCCCCCATCGCCGGCCCTTTAAATGCCACAGCCGCCTGAGCGCTCTATAGAGAGCGCTCAGACGGCTGCCGCACTGCCTCACCTCCCCTGCCCTGTTGCGTGGCCGAGCTCCTTTCCGTTCCGCGACCCGGCCGGACTGACAGGAAGTGCACACTCAGTGTGCACTTCCTATCAGTCCCGCCGGGTCGCGGACCGGATAGGAGCTCGGCCACGCTACTGGGCAGGGGAGGTGAGGAGATGACTATGGGGGGGGAGGAGATTATAGGGGAGAGAGAAAGGTATTAGGAGGGGAGGAGATTATAGGGAGGGAGAAAGGTATAGGGAGAAGATTATAGTGGAGAGAAGATTATAGGGGAGGGACATGGGAGGGAGAAGATTATAGGGAGGGAGGGAGTGGAGAAGGTTATAGGGGAGGGGAGAAAAGAAGAAAGATTACAGGGGGGAGGTGTAGAAGATTATAGGGAGGGAGAAGAAGATTAGCGGGGGAGAAAATTACAGGGAGGGAGGTGGAGAAAGGTTACAGGGAGGGAGTGGAGAAAGGTTACAGGGAGGGGGAGAAGATTACAGGGAGGGGAGGGAGTGGAAGATTACAGGGAGGGAAGGGGGGAGAAGATTACAGGGAGGGGGAGAAGAAGAGAAGATTACAAGGGGGAGAAGAAGAGGAGAACACAGGGAGGCGGGGGAATAAGAGGAAAACACGAGGGGAGAAGAAGAGTAGA